TAGAGAAAATATCTCACAGTTAACCCTACCTGCACTGAACAGGAGAAAATTTCTTAACGAGATAGATAGGGGAGAATAAACATTTTTCATCTTTGTTTTCATGAGATTACTTTAAACTGTCTGTGCTAACCACTCCTTGGTGATAATAAACATAAGACAGTCTCCTTGCTCTCAGATATGCCCCACAAAGTCATCTATAGCTTCCAGTAAAGGGTAACCAAAGCCTAAACAATTACTTTGATTACTCTTCAATATGAGTACATTTGGTCATTTTAAAAGACAAGTTCCTTTTGTTTATTACCAACAAAGTAGATGTAAAGGAGTAAGAAGATAACATTAAGTTTTCCTGACAAGAAGTGTATAACTCTGGATTTGCTGTCATGATGGCCCTGGTGGACTAATAGAGGTGCATGTGCAAAGCAGCCAAAGTGTCAAGTTTTTTTGGCTTTTTGAGTGCTGTCCTACAGTTCAAATATGGAAAATTATCCAAGAAGATCCTACTTCTTTGCTACCCATATCTCTCCTTCACTGATTAAAGCCAGAATTTTAACTTGGACTCAAATATCTTGTCATGGTTTGACGCTGGCACAATGCCAGCGCCCCATGAAAATACAACTTACCAATCAAATGCTGTGAAATGTGATCAAGGACAGAGCAAAGCAGACCAAACTTAATAACAAAGGAAAAAGCTTTATTACACTACTACTACTACTACTATAAAAGGAAAAGAAAGGAAAGGAAAAAAAAACACACAAAATTCGAAATGAAAACCTTCCAAAACATTTCTCCTCCCTCCACCCAACTCCACCAAACCCCAGCGAGACCCATTTGGATCCTTAATCAAGTTTTCACCCTTCAATATAATCAATACTGAGTCCATCGGGGAAGAGAGGAGTCCCCCTTGCAACCATAGACCCCCAGGAAACACAACTGCCACCTTTTGTGTTTCCAATGTCACACGTGGCACCGACCAGACACCCCGGGCCAGTGTGACATTCTCTTCTCCATGTCACAGTGCTCTCACCACCGGGCATGGACACAGACTGCTTATAGGGCCCCTTTAAGGATGCTTTGCCAAGGACCACCAGGAACAACAGTCCAGTATCACAATTTGGGACTAGAGTCCCCCCCATTTTCCCCTGGGGCCGAGGGTCCAAAAGACAGAGATCGCCTTCTCTTCTTCCTGAAGATGGAGGGCATCCTCACACCCTCCTCAGCTCTCTCTCTGTCCACTCCAAAACTGGTAGTTGCTGCAGAAGGTCTCTTGGTTCACCAATGCATCCCCCTAAAATGCAGTCCCTCTTGAAAGAAAGAGTGGTTCAGTCTATGGTAAACAAGCAGAGTCCAGCCAAAAAGCCACTCTATCATCTGCCCCCCAACCTTCTTCTCTAAACATCTGAGGTTTCAAGCTGTCTCTCTTTTCTTCAAATTCAGGAGGAGTAATATTTCATAAAGCCTTCATTTCTCAGGAAGGGTTAAAAGTCCCAACTCCCAAGGATGGCTCTCTGCCCAGGCTCCAGCTCCCACAGGCGGCTGGGCACCTTGTGGCTCCCCCGCTCTTCTCCTTCCCTGCGGCGAACTGCTGATAAAACCACCGCCGTCTCTTTTTTTCCTCTCTTGGGAGAGAGAGAGAGACTCTGGGGGGGAACGGAGACATCCCAGATTTCTCCACCCTTCCATCTGCAGGAGCTGACCCAGCCGGTTCCGATCCTTTACCTCCTGGCCTACCTCTGCAGGCCGCATGGCTCCCCTCCCCCACCCAGCCCGGGCTGGGCAGGGGAGGTCCGTACCATGCGATGACCGGAACCAAAGAAGGACGAGTCCTCCTGGGAATTCCGCTTTTAACCCCTCTGTGTTCTCAGAGGCGTGTCCACCTTCAATTGGTCACCCCAAGTGTCAGTATCTAAACCTGACCCCTGACTGGTGAACCTCTTCCTTCTAAAAAAAATTCTCTTCCCGTGTCAAACCATGACATATCTACAGAACGTTCTTCATATAAAACTGTCCACACCAGTGAGGCAGTTTTCTACTTGGTGGAAGATCAGGAGACTGAGACGCAATATGTACCCATAGCATATAACAGCCTTTGTTCCCTTTATTTCACAGAGGAGTTTAAACTCTTTTAAAGGACAGACAAACCCTATGGCATTTAATACCTAGATGGCCAATGACAACAGATATCTAACTCAAAACCAGAGGCATTGTATTTGAAAATGTTAGCCTAGTGGCTTGACATGTGTACTTGAGTACCTAGCTATGGTCAATAGGGAAGCTCTGGATGCAGGGAAGTATTTTACTTGGTAAAATAATTTCCTTTTAACTTGTATAGAGATAGAGCAAAAAACTTACTCTGACAGAGGGAAGTTAATTCAGCTTTGGGCGGGAGTAATTGAGTTTAGCAGGAATTCTATTAGTGATGAGGAAGGGGACTTAAAACACTGTGAATTATCTCAGGCTGTAGTCCTGCAGCACAGCTGCTCCTTTCTCCATTTTCTGTCTCCAGTGCTGCAGTATTAACACTAAAAAGACCAAATACAAAACAGTGAATTTTCCATAGATTTGTCTGCAACCAGTTACTGTGGTAGCCAAGTAGTAACTGCAGTAGCTCAAGTGCATTTCTCTTTCTGCAGAACAGCTTCTGACATACAGAAGCCTTAGTGCTCAGGCCTCTGCTAGGAAGGTAGGATTTATTCTTTGTACATTGAAGACAGATTTTCAACAAGCTGGATAGAGCTGAACTATTTAAAATTAGTTTATGCCATCTGAAGAACAAACAGGTTGAGTTTGGTTTCTTATTTTCATTGTTTTTTAAAGAACAGGAGGAGCAACCTTTAGTCTACGGAGGTTCTTCAGCCATAGGCAGAAAAATGGTGGTCTAAAGGAGCTGGCTGTCCAGTGAGCCACTGCACAGCCACAGCCACCGCACTGGCACAGGACGTGCCAGATAACTCAGTCCCAGTGGAGAGAGCAGCACAGCCACTGCCAATATCACCAAGTTGTTCTGCACCCATCTGTCACCCCAGCATAGTCCCATCCTTCACAGAGTCAAGGGATCCAGGGGGAACCACTGACAGGCGATCACTGTTGGAGCAGCCCACAGGATGCACCAACCCAACTGTGAAGGAATTTTGTTTTGTGCTCATAACATAAGAGCAGGGCAAAGGGAAGCCAGGTTTGAGCCTCCTACCTACAGTCATCCTCCTCACCAGAAAAGCAGAGCTCTGAAGTCACAGCAGTGATCAACATGCTATGACTGAGCAATCTGAATATGTGTCTATTCCAGAAGATTGAACTTGAAAATGTTTCTTCTGACCTTTCTCAGATGTCGTTCTTTATCGTTGCCAAGTAGAATTCCAAGCAGTTTAATCAGAGAAAGATTTGGAGTGGTGAAGGATGTATTTGGGTGTTATGACTGTTTTTCAGTTTGATAGATGTTTCGAGCATAAGCTGAGCAATGTTTTTAAGGCTCCTAGACCTCTGACCAACTCTGAAAGTTGTTTCCCTGCACCATGCCAACCTCATCATGTCATAGAAGTTGCAAGAGGCTTTCTCTGTTATTCCAGTCCAGTAGGCCACATTACATCTTGTCACGCAAAGGAAAGCAAGCAAGGTAGTGGAGGAGGAGCATGAATTTCCCTCGTTTGTCTAAGCTCACAGGTGGGTCATGAATGTCCTGATCACTGGAACGTGACCTGACATGGGGCTGGAGTGAAGCAATTTAGCAGGTGGTAGAACTGTGGTGATATGAAGCAAACACTGTATCAGCGATTTCAATTTGCATCTGCATGCACAGGTGTCCTGGTTAAGCCCTTCCATTTCAGGAAGCACTTCTGATCCTAAGCACTCTTCATTTATCAAAGTTAATTAGTAGAAAATGTGAAATGCAAGTTAGAAGCTAATTGCTGTAACAGCCCTTCTTATAGACAAATTGCCAATGACATTATCTGTCTTCATCAGGGCAATAGAACAGACCTAATTCCAGACACAAATGCTTTTCCTACCAAACAGCCATCAGACACATATTTCAACCCACTGAGAGAGAATAGCTGTTTATACTGTTTATAAATGAAGCGTACATCTTCTCCCCATAACTAACTGTGTATACAATCACAAGGCTGCCTTTGCTATCCTGGGCTCCAGAACTGACCTGTGGATGTCAGTCAGCACACTCCTGAGAAAACTGTGCACTCCCATCCAGGAGCCCTTCTAGCTCCTGTCTGCATGCGTGTGTTGGGAAAATCTTTTTTATTGAAGATGTGGGTGCCCCTCTCCACACTACTCCACACTACAGTTGTTTTTCTGAAGCCCCTACAGGTTTTTACAGCAAAACCTCTCTTTTTTGTCTCTGTATTCACAGAGGCTGAGGCAAGATACTTCAGTTGCAGGCAGGAATCTCACTATTCAAAATCACTTCAAAGTGATCTTCTTCCTTTGGCTTAAATCCGAATCCCAGACTCGTTAGGCACTTAACAACCTAGGAGACAATCACAAGTTTCCCAGCTATCTGTCTGCTATCAAAGGCAGACAGAAGGACAATCACTCTTACTCTAGAGCACTGGGAGCAGCATTATTATTTACAGACAGTGTTAAGAGCAGTCTGCCTTGTGAATTCTATTCTGATCATGTCTATCAGTCATTATACTGGCAGAGAAATTGTGAATGTTCCATCTCTTTGAGGCAGATTACTCTTTTACAGTATGTTGTCGCCCTGTTTTGCTACTATAACAGAAGGTATATTAAGCTGAAAAAAATCTAGGGAAAAAAAAATGTTTACTTTATCACTCTTGTGCCCTCTTGGAGACCAGAGGGAAAGCCATGACAGTAAGAAAAAATCTATTGTGATTATGAAAGTCTTTGTAGATCTTTATTTAGGAAAATGAGTCTGATTCAATACCACAGTGTACAATGTTCTTCCCACGTAAGAGTCTTATTGGGAGCCACTGGCTCCAAACAAACAGCAGCAATTCTGCTGACTCAGAGAGGAAGAAAAAGACTAGAGGTTAATGCTAAGTAAGTACTTTTAAAGGAATCTGTATTTCTTAAGAAAAAGGAACTAAAATTGTAAATTAACTGCATAACAAATTGTAGGCATTTTACTGCTAGGTGTTGTACTAGTTTCATAGCTCATGGCTCTGTTGTCTGTGTAAATTACAAAAGAGCAGAAACTTACATATTTGTATACAATAATTATATATATATATATATATCTTTCTTTTAATATATATCCAACCACAGAGAAGCAACTAATCAGTAGAAATCATCAGTAAAATCATTTCTCTTAGTAGAAATGGCCTATCCAGAGAACATGGAGTGAAATCAATCTTCCTCTATTTGAGACAGACATTTAAAAGAGGGGTTTTAATCGTGGTGCTTTCTTGTTTAGGCTTCCTTGTATTTTCACACAACCAAGTCTTGAAGAACTCACTTTTAAGCATACAAGATGAAATCTTCCTCTTGCATCAAGTTCTTTATGACTGGGCCCCCTCCAAAACCATGTAGCTATCTCCCAGCATCTTGATTTGTGTTGTACCTAGCCTGAAGTGTGGAGCAAGAGCAAGGAAAATGCAACCCAGAGGAAGTATTACATGGGAAAGTTCTCCACCTGGACCTTTTCTTCTGTCTTCTCAACAATTGCCAAACAAGCATTTCAGAAGAACTTGGAGAAATGGAAAGAAGGTTTATTCTCCTGTGAATTAAAAAAAAAAAAAAATTAATTTTCTTAAACACTGCACAGCTATCACTCAAACTTTTACAGATGGATAATAATGTATGTGATATTTTAGGAGTCAGCGATAAAAAATCTCCCACCATTTTTTAATAGCTTTTTGAAGTGAAATTTTTGTTTTGCCAGACCCACACTTTTGTCTGCTAAGTTCCTGATTTTATTGGTGTTCTCCATATCAAGTCTAAAAATACCCATTTGTTTTATTCACACCCTCCAGTTTTTTCTTTCATTCGCCAGAAGGAATCTGCATTTGCACCAGAACAACTGATATCTAAGTTCTCCCTTTTCCAATCTAATTCTAGGGCCAAAATAAATGGTAAAGAAACAAATTTTCAGTTCTTTATTGATCAATGACTCATAATAGAAATTTTTGTGTGTACTCTCAGGATAAATTCATGAGCCATGGGAAAATGTGGATTAAACTAAACTATTTGGTAATCAATGGAATGCCCAGCTGTGCTGTGTTAATGATTAATGCAGCCATAATTTAAAATAAATTTACCAAGTCAAATCAATCAAGTTTTGTTTTCAGAAGCTGCAAGTTTCACTCAAAAACCAAGTATGAAGGCTTCATACTCTTAGGTAACTGCCCAGCATGTGATCTCATATTCAACTTTTGCTGTTCTATATTCACTGTAGAAAAAATGCAATCCTCTAGCAGTCACTGGAGGATAGGTTAAGCAAGGACTAGTTGATTCACAGCTCTAAAAAACAGTGGGGAAGGTGCAGAAACATAATTTTCATTAATAATCTAAAAATACATCCAGAATTGCTGAGAAAATATACAGGTATCATAAAGGTTAGAACAGCCAGAGCAATTTGTCTCACCTGGACACCAAGCAAAATGTGTTTTCAAAACAGAAGCTTGGGCAACTGGGAAGAAAGAATGGAAATCAACTGTCCACAATGGGGAACTGCCTTGGGGCTCTACGAGACAGCTAATTGAGCAGAACACCTCATATTTAAAAGCTTAAAAGATTTTGGGGTGAAGAAACAGGGAAATAATACTGAGTGGCAAAGGGATAGCACTTTCTCTTCATATAGCATCCATAAGCTCACTGCTAAAACACAGCGTCCTTTGAGGAGATCCAACTTCAAAAAAGGAGGCTGAAAATCTGCAAAGAGCTTAGGGATCAATGCCTAAAGGAGGAAAATACAGCTGTTTGCTGGAGACTGAAAAACCTTATCTATTTATGTTCATTCAAGAGGTTAAGAAATTACTTGATTACAGCTACATACATTTACAGTGAGGAAGGGCTTGAACAAAAGTAATGCCTAATTAGAAGTATTTGGAAGATTAAATGCCACAAATCCAAGCCTTGGATGCTAAAGTTCAGTGACAATAATAAACCAGTAGTTAATAGATGTGTACCAGATTTACCATCTGGTAAAGTTTTGAGGACAAACGTGAATGGGGATCCGGGTTTCCTCACCTTTGGAGCACGGCATTGCAGAAACACAAGAGAATGAGCCCAGAAAAGGGTTTCTGTTTGTCCACAACACCAAACGCTTAACTCACTTCCTGGCCCTCCTTTAGGCCACTGCAAGCAGCTCTCCCTGAAACAGTTACACACATGTTGTGGCCAGTTTAGACACACTGCAATATCCTCACGAGATGGAATGATGCAGATTTCCCACAGCTGAGGAACTAGTAAAAAGAGCAAATAAATCCATCAATTTGAGCCTAGTTTCCCTTATCTCTGCTCATAATAACACCTCCCCACTATTTTACACTACTGTACATTTCAGAGTTTTAGCTTACAGCATATAATATGCCAACTCTGGCTACCTCCTTACAACCTTTCTGTTAGCCATTCGGACACAACAAATTCAGAACAAAAATGCCAAATGAAAATGCCATTGCAGCAAAGAACCCAATGTTATAATATACATTTATAATACATTTATAATACATTTAATATATAATAAATATAAAGTAATATATTATTATGGATATGTTCTAAATCTATATGATGTATTTATATTTTTATTTTTATGATGTGATATATATAAAATATACACCTGTAATATAATGTGTTGGGCAAAACCTGCAAAACTCCTTTTTCTCTTGCAGGAAATGTGTCTCGTCTTTTTGCACGATATGAAGTGTGCATTTCCTCTCATGACTACAAAATTGAGCTTTGAATCAGCCAAAGCTTCTGCAAGTAAAAATATAGCTTCATATTATCACAAGCCTGGTAAAAGAATTTTTGTTTGGAAAATGCTAATACAAAGGAAAATATATAGATACCTGTAAACGGTCAAAAATAACAAACAAGCAATTTTTACATTCTTACTTTTTAGTCCATTCCCAGGTACATGACAGTTGTCCCATGAGCTCGTTGAATGCTGATCAGCAGTCATATGCCCTGACCTCTACACACTGCACTGTACCATCATTAACATTTCTATGCAAATCATCTTGACCTCAGGTGGCCATTCATCCCAAAATCACTGATGTGGCAGAGTGTGAGAATTGAAACTCACCCTTTCAAGGAGCACAGAGCCCTTCATCTTCCAGCTGACACACATTGACCAGTAAGTGCTTCCTCCAAGAGATGATAGGCTATCTCCTGAGTCCATACATTTACAGATGGAAGTGGTGAGTCATCACAGTGATGGGGCAGGGGGTATCAGAATTTGTGTTATTAATTGCTTAAGGCAACAGGCAGGACAATAATTCATAAAATGGTAGGGATAGTAAACGTCACCACAAAATACATTAGTTACCAGAGGTGGCTGACTGTCAAAGCTGGTCGGAGTATCGTATTTTGTTGTTATGGTAGATACATAGCATGACAGAGAAAGGTCTTGCTTCTATTCAAAGCACTGTAGAGTGCTGTATAATACAGAATTTCTGGCCAAATAATCGTAATATGTTTGCTAGTATCAACAAAGCCCAAATTCATCGGCATAGAGATGTAAAAAATCCCAAAAGAGAAAATATAATCCCAACATGAAAATAATTGTTGACTCAGCTGGCATCTTTAAATTTGTAACACCTACATATGCTTTACAGGAAGGTCTCTTCTGAGTGGGAAGCACTGCATCCAGTAGTGATGCCTGAGGTTCAGGACTAGTTCTGCAGCTCATGAAACAATTTAGCAAAGTTGGTTTCCTATGAAATTGCATTCTTTGTTTCTTTCTTTCTCTTCTACTTATGCAGTAGAAATTTCTGTCCCTAATGTATTTGCTGCTGTCTTCTCACTATGGCTCAGCAGCCCATGGGCACAGGCTAGGCAGCTGGCTGAGCTCTGGCTGCTTCTCCTTTCTTAGTAGCACAGATGTGTATCACCTCCCCACAGTGCAGCTATTTTCATACAACTCTAAATACACAGACTAATGACTCTGTCACCCTTCTGACAGTTCGGACTTAAAGCCACCAAGGACTTAGTAAGGTATGAGGAAAGGAGTGGGAAGGTGTTAGACAGACACTGTGATGATGTCAGTTACATTTCCTTCAGAAACCATTCAGTAATTTCATGGGAGTGCTTTAAAAAGCACAGAAAATATTTCTCAGCCTCACTAAGACACCTACGGAGCTCACTCTGCTCAAGTCACCAAAATGGAGACTAATAGGTAACATAGTTATAGGTGAATAAACACTCTCCCGAGAAGAATTTTTTTTTTTTTGATGTAGTAGAATAAACTGTAAAGAGAATTAACCATGTCAATGTATAAAGACAGATAAATCTGAAAAAAAAAAAAGTAGGTTAGCAATGAACTGATTAATTTCTGCCATGTCGTGGACAAGTTTTGGGTTCAGCATGCTCAGTGTGCTCAGATGAGGGATGGTGACTTTAACATAGGACACAACTTGGTCAGATACACAACACCAGGCTTGATGTAAAGACTGTCTAAGTAATAAATGAGAGTCCAAATAACTGAAAATGCCCTTTTGGATGATCTTATGGACATTTTCTTTACTTTAAAAGTCACTGAGTAAAAAATTAAATGCCAAGTTAAAGTTGTCTGAAATCAAGATATATAAAGAAACTGACAATATGGAATTATCAGTACAAGGATTAGCTGTACACTACATTACTGAATTACAAGAGCATGCCTTCCTCCCTTCCTTCTTGTTGAAGTATTACTTACAAGGGTTCATAAAGTGACTAATGTATTAAAAGCTTAAAGTTTTGGCCACATTAGTCATAGAAAGGTTAGAGTGAACATTGCAACAATGGCCATATTAGAACATAATTTTCTGTTCTAACAAACCATGATGCTGCAGCTCACAACAGCAATAAAACTGAAGAGCTTATAAATCACTCTATAAAAGAGAGTGATGTATTTTTTTTCATGATAGCAAGGTTAGGAATATTTCAGTCCCAAATGACTAAAACAATTCTTTGTTTAAATAGGAAGGAAGCTTGGGGAGGAAAAAATGAAGGAAAGCTGAATATGCTGTGCTTTGAGGGAGAGCCTTATAAGTCACTAATGACAATGTGTTATTTTGAATGAGGAGAGGAAAGGGAAAACAGTGACATAGCAAAGAGATGTTTTAACAATAACACTTTGGAAGTCTCATGAATAAACTCCTGACCTTTATTGCAAAACACTGAGGCACAAGAATTCTACAGAGGTCTGCATTCATTTCACAAAAATAAATAGTATCAAGGCATTGTTTTAAACAGTCAGAGCAAACATACATATGAGGATTTGTGTTTTAGTGTTGTACTTAGGGCAAACATGAACCAACCCAAGAATAGAAAAAGTGAAGCACAATGGAGGGAATTTCATTCAAACCTCCCTGATTCTTTTTATTTTAATTAATAGGTTTTTCATGTTTTTTGAGCAGTGATGGAAAGAGTTTTAGTTAATACTGTTTCCTGAATGTGGCTTGTGTGCTGTAGATTTCTCACAATAAGTCTATGCTACTTTGACATAGCACATGGTGTCTATCCAGTGTGTGCTACACTAGATAAGGTGGGGAGCTGCATAACAGCAGAGCTGAAAGGTACTTGCAGAAATAATGAGCCACATTTCCATATACATGTAAACACCTCAGTCATCGGTACACTATGGCCATTGACTTGTCTAGCCAAGTGTCAGTTAGACAGACAAACTTCCCCTGCTGCTTTTCAGATGCAGGCAGTATTAAACTGTGTAGCCTCAGGGATGTACAAAGGTGCAAACCTTAAGGGCCAGACCAACGTGTTACAAACAGCAGCTGCTCTCCTTGTATGAAGTGGCTTCCTCGGCTGAAGTGCTACCAGCTTCCAGGAACTACAGGGCCACACCGCTGTAAAAATAGGACAAAATGTGAAACAGGAATAATTTGCACTGAACTCACAGCTCGCCTTCTCACACCTGGTAGCCTACAGCACACACTCTGCTATGAGCTGCACATTCTCCAGCCTTGAACAAAGATCTGACTTTTCAAGGTGAGAGAAGACAAAGCAAAAGGTGATATTTTTAATTAGCAATACAGTCACAGCTGACACATTAAAATAAGTAAGGGACCATAGGGGAAGAGTTTGGGGAAAGCAGTGCATTTATTTTAACCACAGCTGAGAGGCAGAGCTGGCAAGCAGCAAAGCAAGAGCATCCCTGCACAGGGCACAGAAAGCTCATTGTAATGACGGCACGAGTGACTCAGGGCACTGGAATGGGACACTTCACCTCCAGGTCACCGGTTTGCATCCATTTGCAGCTAGCTGGGACTAGAAGTTATAACCATCAGAGGGGCATCCACTGAAATGAGTCAGTTGTCTCCATGCAGCCTGGAAGGGACAGCTGCCCAGACCCCACACACCAGCCCCACAGTTATTACCCTGTAATAACACATACTGTTCTCCAGGCTCCAGCCATGGCTAGCCAATAATCACCCAAATGGCCTGAAGCTCTGAGGGCCACCAAGCATACACTGCTGCCTTCTGTTTCACACAATAACAGGCATGCTCACCCCACTGAGAAAAAGACAAAGACCTTCTCATGTCCCCTTTGTTCCTTACTTCTCTTTCCTTAGCAAGATCTACAAGAAATGTTGTCTACGCTTCTCTGTAATTTTTTTAATTTCACCAAGCCTAAGCATTGAAAAGTGATTGGCCATGCCATAAAAATCATGAGCATTAAAAAGCATATTCCATTTTCTATTGTTCAGTTCTCTTTCAATTTTTACATTTGGTTCATATTTTCAATTTATCTCTCCTTTTTTTTTTTTCTTGCTTTTTTTTCTCTCTCCCTCTCTCTCTATCTTTCTTTTTCTTTCCTTCTTTAAGGAATTTTTAGATACTCATACAGACCCAGAAGCACAGACTTCAAGAAAAATTGTGATTATTTCTTCATAAAAAGCAGGAGCTGACAACACTGTATGCTAGTGCTGATTTAACACACTAATACTAGATTCCATGCAGTGCAAATGTCAGTAACTGGCTTCCAGTGGAGCTCAGAAGAGGTTAGTAAGATGGAGAATCAAGTATAGCATGCTTGGTTTGGGGCCAAAGAGACAAATATTGGGTCTTTGTCTACTGCAAGTCTCACAAAAAAAGCCTGTAAAGAAATTAAGATTCTCTGGTACAAACTCAACACAGCTGTGGTCCCAGTTGCTTTGCATCTCTCCCTGCAGAGGCAGTTGGAGGCTGTCTTTGCATTCTCTTAAAAAGTACTAAAATCTCTTGGTCATGTTGTGAAAAATATTTCATAGGTTTTGTTTCTAACTCTGAAAGTTAATTTCCCTCTTTGTGCCATTATCCATACTACAAGAGGATTCATATACAAGCTCAGGGCAAAGAGCGCTGTCTTCAGTGTCACTGGCTTCACTTTCATGCATTTTCACATATCCCATTCAATTTATTTGCCCATTACCTGTTTGCTCCTTATCCCTGCACTTCCTGTACTTCCAGGTTGCCCACTGCAGCTTCCCAGGGCTGCTGGCCATGGG